GAGTTTGATGCGGAAGAAGCGGCATCAGTTTGAGCCTGCAGACATACAAAGGGAGGGCCAATAAGTCTGTCAGTTCCAACCCCGAAAAAATATTCTATGGAGCAGAAACTTACATTGCTGCTGGAATGGAATCGTGAGGTTGAGTTAACGGTCGAGCTGATAGGGTTCAAAGAGCTTCCGTTGAGAGACCCGTTGTGTGAACCTGTAAGGGAGCCACCGATGGGTGGTGAAAGAAGAGAGCCATTTAGACTGGTAGAAGCAGAGCTGTTGAGGCCACCAATGGTAGTGTTGAGAGACGTTGAGGTGTTGAGGCCGTGACCAGTCGAGTTAACAGTAGAGTTGTTAGCGCCGGTGGCGGGAATGGTCGCGTTGAGAGCGTCGAGGCCAGTACCACAGGCGGCAGCGCCAGCTTGTCGACCCAAGGTAAGGTCTTCACCTTTACAGTGGTCCATGAGACATTTGTTATAGGCGACCAAAAATTGGGGTTTCTGAGACCAGACGGAGTATGAAATCAGAGAGCGGTTCTTTCTGGAGTTGTGCGGGACATAAGAGCACGGTAAGATGAACTCACTGTGCAGTATGAAGCCAAATCGCCAGGGCCGAACCTGGATAGGAAAGGATACCAGGCCGCGGATTAGTCATCGATCGGAACAAGAATAGCTGAGGAGGTTATTTACCAGGTAGCAGCCTCAGTGAGCTTGATGGTCATACATTTAGTTGAACACTCTGGGATGTTGGCAGGAGCGGTAACCTTTTCACCAAAAACTGCGGGGGATGAAGCCAATAGAAGGACAGCGATGATCGATTGTGAAAGCATTTTTAGAAGTTTGCTTGAGGGTGAAATTAAGGGGATGATGTTTCGATGAATCGATGTGTGCGGTGATGCAAAAGTGAGATTATTCTGGTGAGGAGATTCGAAATGAAGGACGATAGTGAATGGCAAAAGTGTAAGTAACGGTGCGTTATAAAAATACTTCAGAGAGATGGATGAAAATGGGGGGGAACAAATCGACCCGAGGATGCGGTCTATGTAAGGGGAATGAAAAGAGGTACTGCAGACGGGAAAAGCTACATGCAGGAAAGGAACGGCA